GACACTAAGATCTTTTATCTTTTAAACCTTGGTAGTATTTGCCCTTCTATTAGGTAATCAAATTTTGAAATGTTTTTCGATCCATAGTAGGAAACAAAAGAGAATTTATTTACTGTAAAATGCAGCGTATTTAAATAATATATATAGATACATAGGTACTGAGTTTCTTTTGTTTTTGTTTGTTTACCATTTGTAATGCTTAATACTTTCTTCTGAAGTACTTACAAAAAAATTTTGAACTCCTCTCAAAAGGAACAAAGAATTTGTTTGAATTTATACAGATGAGTCAAAACAACTAGATTATGTTGGCTGTCCGATTGTACAACTGTATTCTCATCCGAGCTGTATGCCATTAGCTATTCATAAGCATAATTAATCAAATGAACAACTCTCACATTCTAATTTTCCTTCTATTTCTATTCAGCCTTCCCATTGTATTTTACATATTCAATCTAAATAAAAACCGAACTAATCAATACAATTTACTAGCTTCCTAGTGATGTTGGAGTACCTGGTAATGAACTGATACAGGTGCCATAGAAGCATCTTTCATACTTCCAGAAACTAAATTTAACACGGTGCTTTATTTAGGGAGTGCTACCACTGGAGTACCTCTTCAAGCCCGTTAATGTCATTATTTCTAATATGTGCATATTTACTGATTATATTTTTATATAGTTGTAAATTTCATTAAATAAACGAATTCCACTTCAGACGACGTTTCGAACAGATTTTCTCATTATCAATTCATCTTCAAATAACATTTAACAAACATAATTGACAACAATGATAATTCATTATCTAGACATATAAAAAGTGTGAACTCACCAAAAGTCTTTATTTGTGAAAATATATTTCTATATTATAAAGCTACTCCTCGTCTCATTTTTTGCGCATTTGCTAATGCTTGTCATTCTCCAATAAACAATATATGTATGCAATTATTTCAGAAAATAAACAATTTCTATTATTAATTTCTGTTTTTTTGTTTTATTTAAACTACATGCACTTACTACACCTTCTTTTTTTTTTTTATATGACTAGGTAATGAGTGAACATTGTTGTCATTTATTTTTGTTAATTATTTGTAGTAGAATCGTCGTTTGAAGTGGAACAAATCTTAAAGTATAAGGACTTATATATACCTCGAAGAGACCATGTAGTACGTCTGATTTTCGCTTTTTTTTTTTTTTTTTTTTTTTTTTATTTATTTAGACATATAATATTCTGTCACAGGGACAATAATTATATTGATAAATGAACACATTCACTCCGTATATACAAAAAAAAAAAAAATTAACAAAAGTAAAATAATAACTAAATAATAATAAGTAAAAACTATATACAATAAAAATAAATAAAATAACCTAAAAACAAGTAAATTAAAAACATAAAAACAGTCACACCTATATACAATATATACAATCAGGCGGGGAACCCAAATCCCCGCACTACTCTCTCAACCGCCTCACCAATGCTAAAGCCGGTGGAGTTTGAGCGAGAGCGCTTTAGCCACATACACTCATGTCTTGAGTGGAGAATCTGGCCATTGCCAGAACTCCAAAATATATACTATAAAAGATCTCTGGGCCACTGCCGCTTCAACCTTCGAGGAGGGTTGTAGGGATGAGTGGAACTAGATAGGGATTGGGCTAGGGGATTTGGATGATTGATAAGGTTCTGATGGAATTTTGAAAATTTTTCAGGGATAAGGTCAAGGATAAATGGGATATTAAGGTCATGATGTAGGGTTTTGTTGGTTACATAGAACGGAGTATCGACTATTGTTCGGAGGACTTTGGATTGAAAGGACTGGATGCGTTTGATGTTAGAGAATTATGCTGTCCCCCCAAAGTTCAAGTCCGTAGGTCCAAATAGGTTTCAGGATTGTCTTGTAGATCAGTAATTTGTTGTCAATTGAAAGTTGAGATTTTCTGGTCAGTAGTCTGTATAATTGGCCGTATCGTCGGTTAAGTTCTTGTCTTTTAAGTCTAGTATGTGGGTTCCACGTTAGTCTTCGGTATAAGATAAAGCCAAGATACCGGAATGTGTCTGAAAAAGGAAGCTGGATGGAATTAAAGTGGACTGATGGACAGGATCTGCGGCGGAGTGTGAAGGTAATGTGTTTGCATTTGGATTCGTTTACTTAGATTCGCCATTTATTACACCAGTGCTCAATCATGGAGAGGTGCCTTTGCAGATTTAAAGATGCTATTTCGGGATCTGAGTTGGATGATAGGATGGCAGTGTCATCAGCAAAAGTTGCCAGGAAGGTATCGGGATGGGCAGAGATATCGGCGTTAAAAAGGATATAAAGGACGGGGCCCAAGACGCTACCTTGAGGAACACCGGCTTCAACTGGGTAGGAGTGATTTTCGCTTTTAAATCCAAAAATATTATTTTGTAATTTATATTATGTAATTTTGATAAATAGAAAGACTTTTTATTTTTCTTCTTCTTCTATTTCTCGAAGTGACCATATATAAGAACATTGAGTGCCCTTGAAAAGTACACGATGCCCCTGTAGTAGCTAAATATATATTTCTTAACAAACTGTTAGTGCTTGTATTCATCAAAAACATCGCAATATTTCAGCGATACTATCAGGCCTTAAAACCTAAAAGTAAGACAAATTTATTGTAGATTATGAAGGAAAATAATCTTTATAAACTGATAGGGTATTGTATAACGGGAACATGCCGCTAACCTGTGATGAATACGGCACCTTAATCAAGAATCGGCATCGTTATCAAATAAAGAATTTTTTTCTTGGTAATCAATTTTACTGTCTTTCAAACGTGTATATAGAATGTTCCATGGGATCCTGCGTAAACTGGCTTTATTTATTTAATACATTAAATAATTGGTGTGATTACGTGAACTACTTTTCTTACAACTTTACAAATTACAAAGTCCCAATACTTAATTATTGGCATTATTTTTGATAATAATATTATATATATAATTTCTTCATTTTAAATTTTTGCTCAGTAGATAATTTAATCATTTAAAAAAAACATCTAAACATTCAGAATATTCCGTAAGATGATTAGTTTTAGAGTTATTCAAATATAGGTTATTGGACCAGTTTTATAGGAATCTATGCAGAATATTTTTTAAATAATGATAATTTAATAATCTTTACAAATATTTCACTCATAATTTACTATGAAATAAATAGTTTTGGGATATGTCGATATAAGATTTTTAGACCTCCTGGAAGTTCCTCTCATCAACGACCTTAATGAATTTAATTTATTTTTGTCTACTTCACGACGGTGTAGTTAGAATTTAATTATCGTGAACACTTTTTGAGCAATCCCTTCTTATTCAATAAAAACCGTGACAACCCTAAAATAACATCAAATTGGTCTTAACTCTTTTTCCGTTTGAAATCGGCATATGAATCAATGAACTTTTTTGTTAGAAACGTCTAAAATCACCCCCTTCCTTCCTCCCAGAGTTTGACCAATAAGAAGTGAGACACACTGTGTATTCGTTTGTGTGTGTGTATCAATGGTGAACTTCACAGATTTAAGTAGTAATTTATAAAAGGTTTGCAAGATGTCATATCAAGATCTACATACATTTTTTAAGTGAACATTAAATATTTGCAATATTATTAAATATTGTATTAGTAATTAGTAATATTAAATATTTACAAATTAAGCAATATTAGAGGAATATACAAAGATAATTACAAATCAAAGAATCACAGAGTGAGATGTAATCTTAAATATTTGTTTACTTCAAACAATAATATTTTCTCTTACAATATTAGTAAAGATTAACATCGATATATTCGTTTAGGAAGATCTATATTAGACATGTTCCAAGAGTTTTTCATTTAAATGATAATATCCATGAAGTTAACCATAGGAACTAATTAAAAAAGGAAATTTTTAATACAGTAGGATTAAAAATAATTTTATTCACTGTGGATTACAATGAAGGACTATTTGTTTTTGCAACGATTGTAGTATTTATTAAAACAATATCGTCGGTTTATTGAAAATGTCATTTAGTGACCTTAAATCACAAACACTTTTCATCATTTTTTTTCTCTTTGTAAAATCAGAAAATTGTACGGTTGTTGTAACTGTGATATCTGAAAGGGTTTGTGTAATTTTAGTGCACTTACTACGTTTGGTTTTTTTTATTAACAAATAAGGTTAAAATTCACAAATATGTTCTAAGAACATCAAAAATCAGCTCTATCAAAAATGTACTTAGTGACTTCATGGAATATATAAGTCCTTATGCTTTAAAGATTTATTCAACTTTAAACGATGTTTCGAGCTAATTATCTCATTCTCAAGTCATCAAAATTTTTATCTATGGAAATATATTTCTGTATTATAATTTCATTAAATATTTACTTTCAGTACACCAAATCAATAAATATAACACTAAGGTGAACACACCAGTTATGGACGTAAGCGTAAATAATAAGAAGCGTAAATAATAAGCTTCCATGTTGATTGAAAGATTCCAGTTTTCTATATTTTTCTAGACTGAAGAACAATGGCCTCTATTGACAACTGTGTGCGAAAAGCTTTTTAAAATGCCTATCATTGTTGTTTCTATGGTGCTGTTCAGATCAGTGTGTTTCATATCTCCCTCCTAATAGTTTTGCTAAGAGTAAGTTGAAAATTTATGTTACCTTATCTTTATAGTTAAATAAAGATTTTAGAATTTTTCTGAGGTATGTCTATTACTGGTACCGACTCCCTATCCATTACTGCAACAAATGAATTTCATTTCATCAGTGCAAAAAGATGTTTTTTTTTTTTTAAATAGAGATTATACCTGCATAACTGAATATTTTTTCAATTTTAAAGTGTTAAGTAGCTGTAGGAGACCTTAGAGATTCTAAATGTATAACGGTGAAGTTCATAATTATAATAATTACGGCGGCATAAGCCAAAACTTTCCTTAGCTATGCCCATCACTGGTACGCTTACCCTACTCCTCGTCTCATTTTTTACGCATTTACTTTAATGCTTGTCCATTTCCTAAACTCGGTATTAAATCTTCTTTTAATGTTTAACATGGAGGCTGCAGAGTTGCAGCAAACAGGAAAGCAAGATGCCATGAAAGGCTACCTAGAAGAATACAAATAAAATAAACCTATATAAATGAGTGACAATCGTATACAAACTACTAAAGAATATTAGTCTATTTGATAGCGATCAATATCTTCCAAAATATTACATATATTTAATAAACAAGCGACCTACCAAATAGCGTTGCTAGACTCGAGAATCAAAGTTAACGCATTGACACGCAACCCAGCAGAAGCAAACCAGAAGTTGCTTGAGAATCGACTTGAAAATGGACCTCAATCGCGTGTTCTCTTATCTTTGAAGAGCAATTACTCATGATCCCTCGTGATGTGTCTGAGAGTGTTTTATCAAGGAGTGTCTGGTCAGAAGAAATAGATATTCGCTTTATCAGTTCCGATAACCTACCCAAATATCCTAATAATAAGTGATTATAAACATCGCAAAACTGTAGAAAGGAAACCTCAATTATTACACCTTCTCGGTCGTTTCTCTAAATGGCGAATAGTGATATCTTAAAGGACTTTTGTTTTTCGGTACGCTTTTTCTTCGTTAAGTCTCCATCAAATTCAATCAATTTGAAGATTACCTTATAAGAAAAAAAAAAAAAAAGTTCAAGATAAGTGAATTAAAAACATAATGTGTAACAAAAATAGAATTATTACAAAATTATACTGAGAAAAGTAAGTACATGGAACTAAAAAAAAAAAAGTACTGCCTAATTTGGAAAAATAACTCGTGTTTTAATGAAAGAAAATTGGATAATCAACAGAGATATAAAACTCCACTAATCTAGAAACTATTTTAATTTTTAATCCTCAATCATTTAAAATTGGAATTCTGATTTATCCAACTTTATTTATTATTTCTCAAAGATATTTTTGTTTTTTGGACGTGGGTCAATCCATTTGAAATCACCCAATTTGAATTAATAATTCTGTTGCTCGACATTTTTGATTTTTATATATTTTTTTACCAGTTATTTCATATTTATTTGAGAGTTTACAACCGTAGTTATAAAAATTTAGAAGCTCATAGTTTTTTCTTGGCGTCCATTTTTAATGTTCTTTTCGACTGAAAATAAAGTTTTGGGGAAATGCTTGTAACTCTGGTTATTTTTACATATAAAGCCAAAACAAAAACTGAAATAATTTAGAATATTTTTTCTACATTTCTGTTGATCATTATATCACATTAAAGAAAGGAAAGTGGTTTAAAAAAATCATGAAAAAGGACAAAAAAAGTTAATTTTAGGGTCTCAAGTCTAATTTTTTCTTCATATTAAGTCCTTACTTCTTGCTGGTGATTTCAATCTTGAAAACCTCGTCCTTCCCAAAACAAAAAACTTGGATCTGAATCCGAGATATAATATAATATATAATAGAATAGAAATAAGGTGATGAGCAATTTTTATCAATTTACAATTAGTAAGAATAAATTACTAATTTAAATAAACATTTATTTCAAAATCTTGAGTGTTTCAAGTTATTTAAAATTAGATACATTGTTTTCTTCAGTTTATGTTCGTTTTATTGGTTCCTATCTCATTGATAAAATATTCAAAGTAAACAATAATTTTATTCTTCGTTGTACTTATCCGGTTGAACAGATCCGAGCTCTCTAGGGAAATAACTTGTCTAATGGCACTTATATAATAAGACAGATAAGTCAAACCTCACATCTATTGCAAATGATATTACCATTTACGAAAAAAATGTATTACAAAAGCTTATCTTCACAACTTAAATGAAGGAACCTAATGAGTTAGGTATTTTGGGCCTCATAAAACCACCGAATTGCTCCCTGATCCAGCCTTAATATAATATAAATTCTTCAAGAATTCCTCAATGCTCCTTATCATTATGACAGCCATAAATTTTATATATGACAGTAATGTTTATTAGGTTGCTGGTTTGCATAAAAATCGATATCTATCTCTTCACATTAAGCTCAGTGAGTCAAGAAAAATTATCTTCAGAACCTTCCTTTCCAAACCATTTTCACGGCTTTATTTTTTGTCCATTTTTTTTTTATATCCATTTAGGTTGTTGTTGTTTTTTTTCTTTAAAAGAGAACCACCTTTAAATAAAAGTTGTACTAGATAAAATATAACAAAGATGATATAATATATTATAGTAATATAGATAAAAGGTAACAAATCATTGTGAAACGTCTTTGAGAAGTACAGAGTACCAATGATTCCCAACAATCAAAAAATTAAATAAAAAAATACAAACCAGTTTTTAAACAAATTCAAGTTTTCATATTTATCCAGTAAATAAAGTTACTTACAAGTTATTTCTGAAAGTTATCTTCATCTCCATTAATTCTTAATGAAATTCAACGATTAGATGATCACTTTGAAGATTCTATTCTCATTCAGGTGCGAAAAGAAATCCATGTCCCAGTCAGGTAAAGAAAAATATTCGCGCGCGCATAAATAGTATAAAAGCTTGAACTAATGATACTTCACTAATAATGGCAAGACTGCCAATAAAATGTCAATTTCGAAATAAGTAATCGTACGTATTTACTATAGTTTTCAAATAGAAAAATATAATTTTAGCGAAGTTCCTATGTTCTAAAATAGAAAGCAATTAAAGTTGACAGTTAAGCAATTACAACGACACATAAAATTAAAAGACAGAACTGATTTATATTTTCAAACAGCATATTGAATGGATTAAGATTAATCATAGTGATAACTTTGAAATGAATGGACCAAATTTTAAAAACGCTGCAAATTATTTCACAATGATTTATTATTTTCAAACAATTATATATCTAAAGTAACATTATCTTTCTAGTGACTAAGAAAAAGAAATAAAAAGTGATTCCAATTATTGGACTAACATTTTTTTTAAAATTATTAGTAAAATGCTAAAAAAATTAGCATTACTTCAGTAACACGTTTAAAAACCAAAAATCAAAACAAAGGATGTAGCGTATAAAAAACATTTAGAGACCATATCTTTGCTCCTAATTGACCGATTTTAACGATTTCTTTCTTTTTTTTTCTTTTTTCTTTTTTTTTATAAAATTCCGTAAACTTTTAAATAACCACAAAATAGAGTATACTTTTTTTTAATTTACTCGGAATCTAATTTAATCATCCCTCGTAACTTTTTTTCCAGCTCCTTTTCGTTGAAGTATGTTATATAGATAAATTTAAAGGGCATCGATAATAAGACTTTTCATTGAGAAAGTTTCATTGAAATTGGTACATTCGTTAAGGCACTACAGTCTATAGCAACGCAAGTTTTTCGGTCGCCATCTTGAAAGGAAAAGGCTGATAGAAATGTCGATGAAGGAGGATCATCCTCGGGTGACTTCTAATTTTAAAGCCAAATTGGAGAAAAAATCGGTTCAGTACTTTCGAAGAAAATGCGCGGACGGCGGATGGACAATAAAATTTGTAATCATTTTTCGAATTCTACGTATCTTAAAAGATAAACCTCAAATTTTGAGAGTAGTTAAGTTTTTGAATTTTTGTTCGATCACAATGGTTCATTATTGAAAATGATAAACCAAAAGAGAACGCTTCAATCATCAACTTCTGTTTTTTTACGCCCTATGCACATTTTTTAACATTCTTCGTTCAATATTTGTCGTTGGTTACAAGGTGACGTCAATTATTTCCTTGTAACGATATCTAATATAACACAATAAAATAACTTATACGTAGCCACCTGTAGTCCACTGATCAGCAACCTAACTTAAATCCTACTCACTCAAGTATTTCGATATACGATATAGATAAACTCTAATTTGTAAATTTTTAGAATATGGTGGTTTCCAATAACGGAATAAGTAAGCTTTAATTGAAGCAATATGAAATAAATAAATATGTTTTCTTGTATTCTAGAATAATTGAAAATCCTCCAAAGCACAGATGGATGTTTTTTTTTAAACAAATTCCCTTTTAGATGTTCAAAATATATTTATTTGCCTTTGGTTCAATTAAATCTTACTTATTACTAAAAACAATAATATTTTTTATTTTTTTAGTTTTGAATTTTCTAATTGCCTTTTTTTGATATATTTTTTCTCCAGTTTTTCACGATTTGGACTCCAGGTTCTTCACATCCCTAAACGGGACCCCTGTTACTAGTATGGGTCTCCTCATAAGCTAAAAGATATAAGCTAGCTGTGAGTGAAGATATCAAAATATTTTACATTTTGTATGAAATATTGATTGATGGGTAATATGTTAATTTTTAACAACTTTTTTTATTTTTGTTTTTTCCTCGCTTGCCTTTTAGGCTATCCGGGGTTTTCCCGGGCCAGGGGGTGAGAGCGGGGGATTAATGCCAGTGTTAAAAGACCCTCCGGTACCGGAATGCGAACTCCTAACTATTATCAGGTTGCCGGATGCTGTGCATACGCGTTAGCTCGCTCGGCTACCCCGCCCCCTAATTGTTAACAACCCATAAGACTAATAGTAAAATGCTACTATTCTAACCGAACCTCAGGACTATCCGCCTCCGGTACCATGGGTGCAGCAACCTCCACCCCCTCCCCTCGCCAACGTGGGGTCATTGCTTGGATACATTGTGCAACGTGGAGATTACTTTGGGTGGTTTTTAATTCGAATAACACTAAGATACTTGAATAATATAAAAATTCTTTATTTAATTTATTTTGGATAAATTACAGCTTAGTTATTCTAATACTGGAAACAATAATATATTAAAATATACTCAAAATCTCCAAAGCAGAGTTTATAATTATTTATGGAAAAATTAAATACATAGATCCTTGGTATTGAAAAAAATTATTTAAGTGAGGTTGACCACAGCACTATTGGTGGTAAACATTAGGTCTTCTTTCAAGAAATGTTGAGATATTATTACATGAAACGAAATGGAGTCACTTCCTGGTAGTGAGAATCCAAGGGACAATTGTTACAACTAAGGTCATTATGGATAAGGGACTGTTTTAAGACAAGCTATGAATGGAGTATAAGCTTCCTCGTCTGCCTTAGCACATTTTTCCATTAAATCCCGGAAGATTAAAGCTACAAGGATATTGGAAGCTATAATAAGAAGGAGATAAACTGGCTACAAGAGTGAGGGGGAGTGCCGGTTAGGAGACCCGGTTCTTCCGTTGGCGGTCCCACGGTATCCTCCCATTGTCTGCTCGGCCAACGTACACTCCCACCCTGAGGACAGGTGAGCCCCCACACAGGTGGCTGTCTCTCCATTTCCTACATTTATCATCCCCTCTTGTGCGGTCTATTTACTGTCTCTCCCATCTCAAAAGATTTAATCAATAATCTTCATTCCGGAGGGAGGGGAAGGAATTTGCAGTTCTTTGAACTA